GTGAGGGGATCTTTGCAGGGAGTAATCAATAGGCTTTCAAAACTAATTAGATGTGAGAGCTGTGCAGTGTCTGGTTTTGAAGGATTGAAGTGCTTGAAGAGTGGCCACAGGATGGAGCTCTCCATTAACCAGCAGGAAATGACAGCATTGGTCTTTAGTGACAGGGATTAGAGATAAAACACAGGAGAGAATTCCACAGAGGCCTATGGAAATAAGGGACTTTAACAGCAATAAATAAGAAATGATAATAATAAGATGTTAACAAATACAAATTTCTGCATTTCTACCTCCATAGCACATCTCCTAAAACAAATCAAGAACTAGTACGTGCGTAGAAATTTGTTTGTACTTGGACATTAAACATCATAAATATAAAAAATTGTCTAGTCAAGGTTATATAAATAATAAAGTAAATGTATCACAAATAAAATAAAACTTCAGTGATAGCCATGACTGTGTGTGTGCACATATATTTGATATATGTTTTTTATAGTATTATCTTAATATTAAAACAAAATACAAAAACGATGCCTAAATTGCCAAGAGAGAAAATTATTTGACTTGATACAAAAAGATATAATAATTAAAATCATGTTTTCAAGGATATTTAATGTGATACACCATATCTATGAGGTATTATTCAATTGAAAAAATAATGTATTTAGAAATATATACAGTATGATGTATGTCTAAAATGTTTATTTTACATTTTAAATATGCATATGCATTTATACATGTATATACCCATACATATTTGTTTGTCAATAAGATTTGAAGCCTGTCTATAAACCACATTTTTGAATATATTATCTCTGGATTTCTAGATTCCTGGTTTATAGGCAAGCTTTTAGTTTTAGTTTGTTATAAATTTTGTGCCATAGGAAATCTCTAAAATGAAGCAGGCTTAAAAAGTAAACTGCTTTTGCATCAATGGTAAAGTAATTCTATACTGCAGTTTAAAATTTTGCTCACAAATGGTAAATTTTAACTGCAGGTACAACCACTGTTTGGCTCTCCTGAGCTTCCGGGGATGACGGGAAGATAGCTGTCTAGCTGTACCATCGCAAGTTAGCCTTGACTTGAAATGCTAACACTGGATGGTGTACTCGACATTATCCAAATAGGAGTCTTTCCTGCCATTTGTGGTAGTAAAACAAGAATGTTCTAAACAACTGCTACATACTAAGTTCAGTGATGAAATTAGCTCAAAACTGTTTTGTTCTGTTTTGTTTCGTTTTGTTTTGTTTTGTTTTGTAAAGGAGGTTGGGGACCTAGGTTAGGAAGCAGAAAATTATCTAATTATGTTTTTATGTCTGTCAATTTCAGATTTGATGGGATGATAGAAATAGAGTGATGATAAATAATTCTCATTGATCTACTATTAAATTTCAAGTTTACCTTAGACGTAAGGATTATAGCCTTCATGATACTATATCTGGCTTTCGTCCCAAATAGCTGCCATTTTTTGCAAATTAACTGTGCCAAGTATATATGCGTATATAGTCAATTTTTTATTTATTCCATTTTTATTCTGGGCAAATGCAGTCACCTCATTTTTGCAAAAGAATGATAGCTCAGAATTGGTAAACAACTTGCTCAAAATCACACTACAACTAGGTGAAAAGAGGAGCTCTGATTGTGTTCATGCTTGTCTGTCTGCAAAGCCTCTTCCCTCACAGTCAGGCTTCTTTCTAAATCCTCTGGACACTCGTCCCCAAGAATTCTTCACTAGTCCTCCTTTCTCCTCCCCAATTGTAAGCATTTCTGGACACTATTTCTTCTTTTTCTATGTTCCTTATTGAGCCAAGCTGGTGAAGTTACTTTGATAATCACTTAGGAGGGTAACTCCTTGTAAGTTACAATGTTGCTGTCCTTCTACACTTAACTCTACACTTAATCAGTTACATCTTTTTAAGTCAAACATTATGGTGAACAGTTGCTCTCTTGGCCTCCTGCTATTTACACATTTGTGTAATCTCCTCTTTAGTGCCGATTTGACCTTGTGACACATAGCCTTGGCAATGAAAACTGTGCATAACTTTATATTAGAAAACTATTCCAGCAGCTATCCCTGGGATTTTATTTCTAGGTGCTGTGATTTGACAAAAGCTCAAAAGTTTTATTTTCTACTACGTAAAGTATTTATGCTGAAGTTTCTGGGTGGTGCAGCCAAAGATTTTAAAGGATTTCTATAACCTCTCTCTCTGCTTTCTACTATAAGGGAGAGCCTCGCTGTGGGTAGCCTGAGCACACCCCCCTTGTGATAACTGCTGCAGAGTGGAGGCCTCTGCCTGGACCATCCCTCAGCCTCTTCTCTCTTTGTATCTTTTGAGCCTATTTCAGCCAACATTACCTACATAAAAGTTAGGTGTCACTGTCAATATTTTTCTAATATTTTAAAAACTATTTTTCTAATCTTGTCTCTTACAGGAACAATTAAACAATAGAGGAGAGTATAAGACTTTTTATTTCCCTTTTGGGGAGCTTGCCATGTGAGAAGTGCCATGGTTGGATGTTGGATGGATAATCTTTTCCAGCCAAATCATAAACGTGATCATGAACATCTCTAGGTAAAAAAGTCTGGTGAAAATCTACAACCTTGAAAAGACTTCAGAGTAGCCTATTAGCAAGACATGGGTGATTTCCTCACAGAGCAGGAGGAGTCAAAAAGCAAGAATAATGCAGAGGCCTCAGGGCCCCCAGAATGCTGACATCCTATCCCTTAGGTTTCTAGGCTTGGAAGACAGCTAGACATTGTAAGATTCTCATCTCACCGTCACAGATTGCGTTTAATTTTTCATTACTGATAATTAAACTGACTTCCTCATGTTGAGGTTAAAATTGCTTATGCATGCAAGGATCTAGTCCACATATTGCCCCAAATCATTTAGAGTCTCTTGGACTACAGAAAGGCTAGGCCTATCTGACTACAAATCTGTTTCTTTTTATTAAATAAGGTAACACAGTAATTTCTCTCAAGGTGAATTTGAATTCCAGGAGAAAAAAAATATTTTCCACAATATACTTTGAATAAGAAATTGTAAACCATAACAAAAAAGCAAAGCAAAACAAACTAATCACATAAACAAATTAACATAATGAAATTGAGAAAGACAAACAAAGGGAGTTAATCATGAGTATAGAGGAAGACAATGGATCTTACAGGTAGGACCATAGACAGAGTGATATTTTTATTGTGATTTGAACATGGGCAAGATTTGGACATAAGGTTTAGAGAAGAGGCATGGCAGTGAAGACACTGGGAGAACATTCTACAAGTAGAGATATTTTATTAGAAGGAACAGATAAGAGAAGTATAAATAATATTCAGGGGAAAGGAGATGCCCTGGGGAGTAGGGTAGATGAACAAAAACAAATAAGGAGTAAAATTGGAATGTGGGCTTTATTTTCTAGGCATTAGAGAGATTTTGCAGGCTTCTTAAAATCTGAATGACATATCAAAGAAGAAAACTGGGTGATTGGGCTGCAAAAATAAGGGTGAATGTAGATGGGAAGATCTGTTGTAAGAGTAAAATACTCTCAGTTAAAGTTAATAAGGAGGCATCTCATTTTAGTTTTGATTTGTGTTTCCCTGATGATGAGTGATATTGAGCATCTTTTCATGTATCTGTTAGCCATCTGGATGTATTCTTTGGAAAAATATCTATTCATGTCATCTGCCTATTTTTTAACTGGATTATTTGAAATTTGGATGTTGAGTTTGATGAGTTCTTTATAGATTTTGGATACTAACCCCCTATCGTATATGCAATTTGCAAATATCTTCTCTCATTCCAAAGGTTGTCTTTTTATTTCATTGATTGTTTCCTACACTGTGCAGAAGCTTCTTGAAGAAGTCCTAATAGTTCATTTTTACTTTGCTTCCCTGGCCTCTGGAGACATGTCTAGGAAGAACTTGGTCCAGCCAATGTCAAAGACGTTGCTGCCTCTGTTCTCCTCTAGAATTTAGATGGTTTCCTGTCTTACATTTAGGTCTTTCATCCATTTTGAATTTATTTTTGTGCATGGTGTAAGAAATGTGGTCCATTTTCATTCTTCTGCACGCTGCTGTCCAGTTTTCCCAACACCATTTGTTGAAGAGACTGTCTTTGTTTCCCATTGGATACTCTTTCCTGCTTTGTTGAGATTGGCTGACCATATAGTTATGGGTCCATTTCTGGGTTTTCTATTATGTTCCATTGATCTATGTGTCTGTTTTTGTGCCAGGACCATGTTATCCTGAAGACTACAGCTTTGTAATATAGCTTGAAGTCCAGAATTGTGATGCCTCCAGCTTTGCTTTTCTTTTTCAGGATTGTTTTGGCTATTCAGGATCATTTGTGGTTCCATACAAATTTTAGGATTGTTTGCGCTAGCTCTGTGAAAAATGCTGGTGGTATTTTGATAGGGGTTGCATTAAATGTATAGATTGCTTTGGGTAGTATTGACATTTCGACAATATTTGCTCTTCCAATCCATGAGCATCCATGGGATGTCTTCCCATATCTTTGTGTCATCTTCAAGTTCTTTCATAAGCGTTCTGCAGTTTTCAGAGTACAGATCTTTTACCTCTTTTTATTCCTAGGTATCTTATGGTTTTCAGTGTAATTGCAAATGTGATTGATTCCTTGATTTCTCTTTCTGCTGCTTCATTATTGATATATAGATATGCAACAGATTTCTTGTATCCTGTGACTTTGCTCAATTTGTGTTTCAGTTCTAGCAATTTTTTGGTGGAGTCTTTCCGATATTAAGGAGAGCACTTGTTGTGATGGACACTGGGTATTATATGTAAGTGGTAAATCACTAAATTCTACTCCTGAAACTAGAATTCACTATATGTTAACTGACTATAATTTAAATAAAAACTTGAAACATTAAGTAGAATAAATTAAATAAGAATAAAGTTAATGAGGAAATCTATTAGGGAATTTAGAATAAATTTAGAATAAAGAAGAATTAGAATTTAGAATTTAGAATTTAGAATAAAGAAGAAGAAATGTTTGGGCAGGTGAAACTAAAAACCCCAGGATGTTAGGAGTTTCAAGGCAGATGAGCATTGATGAAGGTAAGGGACTCAGCTTGTTTAGCCTATTTTGAGTAGATGATATTAGAAGTAGGAAAGTGAGTAGGAAAAGGAAACCTTGAGTGGTTTGGACAATATTCAGATAACTTCATTTTTAGAGATGTTAATTCTGAAGAAACGATGACAGGCAAATTTTCCAGCTGCATCCAAAAAGAGACGTCATCAGTGTGGCCATCGGTAATCGGGCCATGTACAAAGAAGTGTGCCATCATGAAAAGGCCAAAAGCATCAATGTGCTAAGTGGATCACTATATTTATAGCTTGTGGTGAGATTCACAAAACAATTATCCATCTATGAACATTTGTGAAATGAAAAGAATGGTACTTACAAATCAAGTTTAACAGTTTTTTGGAGCCCTTTCCACAGGACATGGATGGTAATATTTTTCACCTAAAACAATGTGGTTTACTGAGAAATGAATAGATAACTTCTTTCTCCATGACCAAAATCAGAAAGTTAAAATTGACGAATAGATGGAAAAAAAGAGTCTGGACAACAAAGTATTATAGACTATAAGTGAGGAGGACAAAGAGAGGGAAGGGAGGCCATCCAATATCCTGGGATAGGAAAGGCAGCAAAGGAAGCATCCCCATGTATACCACCCAGTGCATGAGGCATACAGAAGAAATGAAAGAGACAAAGTAGAATGAGAAAACACAAACACAGTTATGAGGTTCTATGACAAGGGTAGCAAACCCTAGGGATGATGGAAATATCATGCTCGCCCACTTGGTGAGGGAGTCGGCAGTCCCTCTTGAAATGAGGATGGAGATCCTGTGAGACGATGATCAACTCATGTATCTACTGATGGCATCAATAAGGACTAAGCAACTTCAGAAAATGAAAGACCAAGAGCATGAGGACAGATAGTAAATGGAATAAAACAGTTGTAGCCTTGTAGTCTTGCAAGTTATTATCAACCCTTAAGAAGGATATTAATCGTAGACTCTAATATATAGTATACTGCTCTCTTGGAGATATTCGTGATTCATTGTCTGTAATTTAATGATTTATTAAATGTAGTCATTTTTTTAAATTTAATAAGAAGAATTCCTCTTTCAGTTATTCCCAAATAAAAGGTGCAGGGCCCTGTATTTTCCAGTGACTGCTATATCCCCAGCACCTAGCACAAATTCAGACTATAGTGAACAATAAATATTTTTGAAGTAATAAATGAGTAGGTGAGTAAATGACTAAACTCAGTCCCAAATTTACTATGGCACAGAAGTCATGTAAGAGAGCTTCTTGGATTCAAGTAGACTCTAATGAACATCTTGTCTTCACAATAGAGTCAAAGTAGGAGATAAACCATCCCACCTCAGCTTCTACCAACATGGTAAAAGTTTGTCTCTGACAGTTACAGATTCAAGTACAATTCTCTCTTAAAATGTTTGCTGCTGAAGAGAGAAGTAGGACAGTGATTTAAAATGGTAGTAGTTTGGAGATATGTTTTGAAAAATTATCATTCAACATTGTCCTATGTACCTGGTGAAATGTAAAACTCTGCAACACATGAAAATGCTTTCGGGGCGCCTGGGTGGCGCAGTCGGTTAAGCGTCCGACTTCAGCCAGGTCACAATCTCGCGGTCCGTGAGTTCGAGCCCCGCGTCGGGCTCTGGGCTGATGGCTCGGAGCCTGGAGCCTGTTTCCGATTCTGTGTCTCCCTCTCTCTCTGCCCCTCCCCCGTTCATGCTCTGTCTCTCTCTGTCCCAAAAATAAATAAACGTTGAAAAAAAAAATTTAAAATGATTTCAATGTGTACTTTCAATAGGTACTAAATAATTTAATTTAAAATAATTAAACATGTTAATAAATGTATAGGTTTATAACCAGTGTTAGAAACCATTGCCCCTATCCTCCTCACAAGGTACATTTTCTGTGAACAGAAAAGTAATTATTTGCTATTATGTAGCATGTAAGATTTAACTAACTCTACTACACTGTCTAAAAGATAGCTAGATGAATAGTGACCACATACATTTCAGTGATGATGTATGGTAATAAACTGATATTACTTTCACATCAATCATTTTGTCTCTTCTAACATATTTTTCTAAACCCCTGTATTTTCTTTTTCTCAACTACATGCCCAAAATACAGTCCTTAATATTAATAGACACTTATTTTTTTATTGAATATTCTATAAGGGCTCTTAATGTACTAGAGTTTTTGGCTCTCCATTTTGGTTCTTTATACTTAAGCCAGCTGTACAAGGTTCCATTTTTGTACATACAACTACTTTTAGCACAGTAGACTGCCAAATTTCACGGACTTTTTTTTTTCATGCTGCCTGTGCTATATTTATTATTCTCCTCAGAGTTTTCAAATTTAACAAATTCACAGATGCTTTCTCTGTCTAGGCTCATTTATGTAGATTTTTTAACAGTAAATATGTCTACTGACCCACTCAACACTTCTCTTCTTGCAGCTCTGGTAAATTCTTGGTGTTTTAATCATCCCTTCTTCTCCTCAGAAACTTGCCTTAGTATAATCATTTCATTATGTGGTGTTTGAAAACTGTTCTTAACCATGATAGCATGGAGGTTAATAGGACTTAGAATATTGTTTGCACAGAATTTTATGATCTCCACACACCCATTTGTTTTTTATTAAAAGACATTTTAACCCCACCCCACCCCCATTGAGGAGAGATCAATACAACTTTATGTTTTATGATCAAGAGTGCTTGGCAGGACACCTCATTGATTTCAGAGACAAATTTGAACATATTCTTGATGATGCTGGAAACTAATATCTTAGCAGTGAAATCTTTCTTTTTTTTTTTTTTTGGACCATGTCCAACAAAATTTCCAGAAAATTTAGTTATTATTTAACAAGAAGAAATAAGCTATATTTTCCTTTGGTAAATTTCATATTCTCCTCCCTACATATCCAAGGCATTTAAATTGTAAGGAAAATATATAATTAGAAAAAAAAACTGTTACCTATTCTCTTAAAGTATAGAGATAAGAATGACCTTTAATCTTATTAGTAGCTTGAGTTTAATATGATGATCTAATATCTTTGTTTTAATTCTAAAATTATAGCTTTCCACATCTTTCTGTTGACCTGATGATTAGGGCATTAGAGAATGCCTGTATAATTGAAATATTAGCATTTTTAATGATACTGGATTTGAAAGACTTTATTCTTAGGATCAGTGAGTCACATGGTAAATTCCACTTTAGTTGTTCATGATGATGACACCATTTCTTTATACTACAATTTCCATGTGTGCATGATGTTATTTGATCTGTGTTAAAAAATAAACACTCATTAAATCTCTTGTCAGTCTCTAGTCTAGCACAGTTAATTCCACTCAGTAGTTACTGTTCACAATAATAAATTGAGAGAACGAATTAGCCACAGCATTTCTGGTGCAAATTTTGCATTTGGTTAACAACGATAAATGTTGAAGATCTAAGTGCTACTGAGATTATCAATTTCCCTGCATTTGATGAAAGTCTGTTTTGTTTATTTTCTCATGGACTTATATTACCATGTTCTGCCTATCATAACTGATGCTGTATTCAATAAGGATTTTCTGTAACAACCACTTTCTTAAAGATCTTCATTCTTTTATATACCTAATCGAGAAGTTATCCTGAGATTTAATGACTCTTAATAGACATAATAGACACTTAACTAATGTTATATCTTTTGCTCTTCTGTTAGCACCCAGAAATTAAACCTACAATACCAATCAGAACTGAAATCTCAGACTGAGAATAGACTGATGAAAAAAAATCTGTAATTATAGCTCCAAGAGAAATTACTAGGATAAAGTTAAACACTATTTTGTCCATGGCTCTCAAAATGCAAATTTTGGTATGAATTTCTATTTTAATAATATATAAGGACATTTCAATTAACTTCCAAAGAAAATTAAAATGTTGTCAATAATTTCATATATTCTGTTTTCCTTTTATGCCATTGGAGTCCATTTTTCAATACTTGGTAGGCATATTTTTTAATGTATTACTATTACAGAGTAAAATCCTATTTGACATACCAGAGATTATGAACCTGCTTTAGTCTAAGGATAATTGTGTTAATTTTTCCCTTAGATTAATTTCTATAAATGGCTTTCCTTCTTTCAAATGGACATTGGATTCTCATAAAACTAAATTATTTTGTGGATTTTAAAATATCACATTTAAAGTATGCAGAATCCATTGGAACAATAGACAAGTTCTCTAAAGTTATTCTCTTTAGGGATCTTATTTTTCATAAACATTCTTTTAATAGATATCAGACTGAAATTCAATCTAGAACATATGAACTGAAAACATAGAAGAAATATAGCTAGTTAGTATTTAAAGAGAAGATTAATGGAGAGGAAAAAAGGTATGCCCCTGGCCAAATGAAACAGTGAAATTGTTTTATTTTAAACTCATAGATGAATGATTCATATAAAATACTGCACATGTAAAAATAAAGAATTTTAGAAGAGTTATCAAACAATAATTTAAGCATAATATGTTGTCATACTTGGCAATATGGAAAATAAAGTAGACTATACTTGCCCTAACAATATTCAACACAGACCATACTAAAAATGATCAACGTAGCCATAATACTGATTTAAAAGGATGGTTTTATTTTGTACACCTCATTAAAAGTAAAACTATGGAGAAAATATAGAGGCTTAAGAGCAACCAAGTTAAAAACTAGAATTGTTCATCTGTAAACTGACCAGAACTTTACCAGAATGCCTGGTAAAAGAATAGTAAGAGACAGATCTAAATAACACTAAACAATCAGAATAGTATTTAGTTTAGAATTGGACATATTAGCTATATACTAATGATGGCAATATAGCAAAACTGATTTCACAGCCACAGAATTTTATTCTGATAGCACAAAACACATAAATCTCTAATTGGATTATTTAATAATATGCATTATCATTTAAATGTATTTTTAAACATTAAAAAATATTCTACATTTAATGTGATCCCTACCAAATACTACCAGCATT